CACACACACTCACACATGCACACACCATTCACACACAGAGGAACCGCCACCGAGATAATCCCCGCCTCTGGCCCGGCAGGTGACAAAGTCACCCCACCAGTCCCTCGGGCGAGGGTCCCGGCCGGTTCCCGTTTTTCCCCTTTGAGGGACGCTTCACGGCGGGAGCACCCACCGATCCGCCACCTCATCCCCCCTGTGGGAGCACCCACACAAGTTACGGGCGGAGAGCTAGGCTCCCCCTACAGTGCCGTACCACCGGGCGATTGAAGTCAGGGCCGCCAACCCCTTCCAGCGAACGAGACTGGTCCGCGGCAGCAGACCTCATCTCTATGGAGTCGCTGGGCTCCATCTGCACCCAAAGCCGGGTACCGTGCTATTTGAAAGCGGGCGCCACCCCGAAGAAAAGTAGAAGTGGAGACCTTGGGACAATCGGTCGGGGAAGAAGGATGGGAGGTTTAGGATGGGAGGAAGAAAGAATGGGTTGGGTGTTCTTCCACCCGTAACAGCCCCATTGTGCCGGGTTTGGAGTCAGGGTTTTCCTTCCCCTATGCGCATCAGGCCATAAAGCCCGGAGGGAGCGCAACCCCCCTTCTCGTGATGTCCGCCCACGAAGACTTCGGATTACTCACATACTCGCTACTCACGGCCCGAGGGCCGCTTTCGTTTTCGTTTTCATCCGAAGCCGCCGCCTACAGCGGACACCACGAGGAAGTGCAATGGTGCGCTCTTAGACCCCTCAACCCGAAGGAAGAGGGGAGCTCCTCCACCACGACAAGGTGGCGCACCATCGGAGGAGAACCTAACCTAACCTAACCTAACCTAACCTAACCTAACCTAACCTAACCTAACCTAACCTAACCTAACCTAACCTAACCTAACCTAACCTAACCTTTTTTTTTTTTTTTTTTTTTTTTTTTTTTTTTTTTTTTTTTTTTTTTTTTTTTTTTTTTTTTTTTTTTTTTTTTTTTTTTTTTTTTTTTTTTTTTTAACGAGGGGAAATCCGCCTTATAGATACCCCGCCCGACAGGTGGGCCAGCCGGCTAAGGCAAGCACCACCCTTTCGCGTCGAGCGGGGTTATGTTGGGCTCTCCCGACCGACTCTATCTGGTCGATCGGGCCTACCAACTAAAAAAAAAAAAAAAAAAAAAAAAAAAAAAAAAAAAAAAAAAAAAAAAAAAAAAAAAAAAAAAAAAAAAAAAAACCCCTCGGGCCCAGCCTAGGCCACAATGTCCGGACCCCAGGAACTGCTCTAGCATTACTACCGGGGTCCGAACTGGCTAGCGCGCAACAACGCGCGCGCTTCATCCTCTTCCTTGCCCACCCTGACCTCCCAATTCATCCTTACTATTTACATATGCTATTTTATTTACATATATATTTACATATTTGGTTATTTACATTTACATTTACATTTATTTATGTATATATATTTACATCCTTATCTACTGTTTACATATGTTATTGTATTTACACATATATTTACATCTTTAGTTATTTACATTGTTCAATAATGTATATATATATTATTCTATTTACATCCTTGTTTACTTATACTATCTATCTACATGTATATTATTATTTACTGTATTTACCTTATTTAGATTTAATTCAATCTCTAGTCTCTAGTTCAATCTCTAGTCTCTAGTTTAGGTATCATCTTCATCTGTGTTGACAGCAACGCTTTCTCTCTCTAATTGCCGTTCTTTTTCCTCTTTATCAAACATAATTTTTTCTACAAAGGACTGGGCAGCAGCCCAATAGATCTTAGATTGGACCATCGCACCGATCATACTCTTCAAATTAAATGCGTTTCCAGCTATATCTAATTTACTCAATAGCTCTTCACGTTCGTTCTTCCACGCTGTGCAATCTATTAATGTATGCTCTGCAGTATCAACTGCACCAGTCCTACAATGTGGGCATTCATCTGTTGTCGCTCTTTTAATTCGTTTTAAGTAAGAATAAAAGACCCCATGTCCAGTCAAAATTTGGGTAAGGTGGAAACTTACGTTTCCGTGCTTTCTATAAATCCACTCATCCCAGATTGGGATGATGGCTGTTCTTGTACGTATACCAGCGGCACTCTGTCCTGTTAAATAACCTTTCCACTTTTCGTATGCCGTGGCAGTCTCATTTGCAAGGATAATTTTCTCCTCTTTCTTCGTCCATGTCTGTGCAATTTTCAAATCCCTGATTTGATCATATGATCTCTTTCTAGCTTCAGCCGTATAATGATAAGGTAGAATTCGACTAATTATTGCCGCTGCATCGTGTGCTACAGTTTTGTAGGCAGCAATAACGCGAAGTGCTATGCATCTATGCAGATCTTTCAAGATACTACGTACTTTACCTTTATGTATTGCTTTATGGGCCCACACTGGAGCCGCATAAAGTACAATGGATGAAATTACATTAGCGTAGAGCCTTCTTTTCTTTTCACTCGGACCGTGCAAATTCGGCATTATTCGCCATAAATTCTTAGTTACTTTCTTTGTCTTATTTTCGATATATTCTAAGTGATCCACAAACTGGAGCTTATCATCCATGATAACACCTAGATATTTGATCGCTCTCTTGGATTGTACAATCTGCCTATTGACGATAATTTCAATCACCGGCGGCGTTTTCCTATCAGGTGTAAATACAATAATTTCCGTTTTCGACGCAGATACTTCCAGATGTAAGTCCTTGATATGTTTACAGGTACGTGCAACCTGAAATGCTACACGACGTTTGGCACTAGTTATAGATTCGCCAGTTGCTACTATCAACGTATCATCGGCATATGCCATGAGACGACATCCATTTTCAGTTTTTGCACGAATTACTCTATCAAATGTGATATTCCAAAGGAGCGGCCCTAAGACCGATCCTTGGGGAACTCCTGCCTCTATACATCTGGTAATCTGTCTACCGCTCTCATTTGTAAATAGTACCACCCTTGTAGATAAGTAGTCATATACTATCCTTTGTAAATATACCGGAAATTTTTTATCTTTTAGTGCATGGCAGATGTCAGCCCACTGTAACGAATTAAAAGCGTTACTTATATCTAATGCTACAGCTATCACAGTACCTTTTTCTTTTTGAGCAAACTCAATAAATTCACGCAATTCAACTATAGCGTCTATCGTCGATCGGCGTTGTCGAAAGCCAAATTGATTAGGGCTCAGAGCTGCCTCCGGATGAGCGTCCATCCAATGTATTAATCTTTCGGCTATTACTCTTTCAAATATCTTACCAATTTCTGGTAATAAGCATATAGGACGTACCTTAGGATGTTGCATATCTAATTCGCCTTTTGGCAATAATACTAATTGTGCCTGTTTCCACTGTATTGGGAAGACACTCTGCCGAAGGCATATCTTAAGCACAGACGCTACACAGTCTATCATCTCATCACTTATTTGCTTCCAGTACTTGATCTTAACACCATCCAATCCAGGTGCTGTGTTTTTAGCTGATCGTGTCTTGATTATTCGATAAATCTCTGCTGGTGATATGTCCCACTCATCTTTCCAGTCCTCTTCTAATGTTTCCATTCTATCTTTTCCTACTTTAGATTTCGGAAACAACTTGTCTAAAGTATCTTCGAGCACTTTGGCATCTAACATTTCTGTTAATCGTGGAGAATTCCGACGCAACTTATTAGTAACCAAACGATAGGGGAGACCCCATGGATCCTCCTCGATGGTTTTAATCAGATTCCTCCACGCTGCCTCTTTAGCTTTCCGAATTAACGTGCATAATTCTTTTTTAACTTTCTTAAAACTCATTTCTAACGTGATTTCTTCATTAGCTTCGCGGTTAGCTCTCTTTCTGTATCTTTTCCACTTCCTGCGTAGTTTAATACATTCTTTCCTTTTATTTTCTATTTCATCAGACCACCAATATGTCGCTTTTCGTTTTCTTAATCCAGGTGGTATACGTGGCATGGCCGCATCGCATGCATGTCTCATAATATCGTCCAATCTTGTACTGATTTCATGCGAAGAGATACTATTACTTTCTTTATTTATTTGTGCCTGTAATTGTGGGCATTCCCAGACCAATACTGATTGGAAAAAATCCGAATTAAATTTTTTAAAAGACCAAGCAATTCTTTGCTCAGTAGTTTGATTGGTAATCGATATGTCTTTATCTAAAACAGAAAAGGCCACATAACGATGATCTGACAAGGAGATATCATCCTCTTCCACTCTCCAATTCTGTATTCGCGAACTAATATCTACCGTTGACCAGGTTATATCAATTATCGATGACCCTTGCGGCCGCACGCATGTTGCTATATTTCCTTCATTAATTAGCCTCAAATTTAACATATGTGCCATTTCTATTAGATCTTTCCCTCTAGCATCTTCAACTCTCGATGACCACAAATGAGCCTTTGCATTGAAATCCCCACAGATTATCGTGTTATTTTTCTCCTGCGTAACTAATAGTCTAATTTCATTTAACATTAGCTCAAATGCCTGCGCTGACTCACTCGGTGAACAGTAGCATGACGCTATTACCATATTTTTGTATTTAACTGCCACCATGTGGTGGCCTTTCATTAACAGTTTACACGGGAAACTAGTCGTCCCTCTATTCCAGAGAATAGCTGCAGTGCCCTTTTTACTCGTGATCCAATACTCATTGTTAGCTGTAGACCACGGTTCCTGAACCGCAACTATTTCGATGTCTTCTTTCAAAATTTTTTGCATCAAAAGATCTTGGGCTGCCTGAGTATGATTTAGATTTATTTGCAATAATCTAATCACTTTACTAGTCTCTTTTCTAGTCATTCCTACTGTGATCTCTTTTCTAGTCATTCCTGCTGTGATCTTTTTATTTGTCATCATCATTAGTATATACACAAACTTCCATATTCTCATCCGTTTTATTCTTATATACACTATTTACATATTCATTATTTCCTGTATCTATCGTTTTATTTATATCTTTGTTTTGTTTCCTGTTTCTTACGCAGGTAATCGATCCTATTCTATGATGCCATTCTACACGGTTCTCTTTACACACCACACATATGGCTTCATTAGTACACTCTTTGACTTTGTGTTGCGAAGAACCACATCGGTAACAACATCCGGTTCTATCTATTTCAGACTTACAATTATACTTTAAATGTCCGAATCGCCAACAACGGAAACATTGCTTCTCTCTTGCTTGTAACATTTCAATCTTTATTATAGACCATCCAATACGTACCTTTCCTATTTTAAATAATTGAGCTGCTGCATGTAATGGGCATTTAACCCATATCATTCCAAGTCCGTTTCGCATAATCTTGATTTCACTGGCTCGAATCTCTGACAGTTTACACTTTCCTTGAGCAGCAATCGTATCCATGATTTCCTCCTTAGAGATTGAGTCGTCTAATCCAAATAATCGTAACTCTCCCATTATATTTGGTCTACTAACTGTAATCTCTTTATCCAATACTTTAGTTAATTCTTCAGCTAATCTATCTGCCTCCATTCCTCTATTAGCACCAGGTATTGCTATTAATACATTTCCTCCTGCAGTCTTTCTTATTCTAGTTTTCTCAATACCTATTTCCTCTAACGAGATTTTTTCTCTTGCCTTACGGAGAATATCAGCGTAAGAGTATTTATCCTTATTTTCTTCTGCTATTCTTAAGGTAACAGCTGAAGATCTTGGAAGCCTTCGCACCATCTTCGGTTTCTCTTTTTGCTGTTGCAGAATTGATTTCTTGTCTTGCTTTAGCTTTTGTTCTTCCTTTACTTTCTTTTTATTTTCTTTTATTTCTCTCCTACTTTTCTTTGTTTCCCATTCCTGATCTGATTGTAAATCTTTCTTTGTAGTCTCTTTCTTTATAGTCTCTTCTTTCCTTTTAGTTTCTTTTTCCAGTCCTAAACTTTCTATCCTTGGTTTTCTAATCTGTATATTTTCCACCACTTTAATATCCGTCCGTATACTTCTGGGCTGCATCATTCTCTGTGATCTTTGCGGTTTCGGGAGTTCCGGGTATTCATTCCTACTTCCTACTCCTATCCCAGTCTGTTCCTCCTGTGCAATCGTACCATATTTCCTAACTTGATCTCTAATTTCCTTATACTCCTTTAGAGTCTCTTCTATTGCTTTCCTTGTTAATTGTTCTTTTTCTTTTTGTTTCAGGTGCTTCGGGAGCAGACTTCCACCACGACTGATGCTGGGACCAGGATTCACAGGATAAGGTTTCTTGAAGCGTAGATCATCCTCAACTCCGGACCATTCACAGGTAGGTAATCTTTCACAGGTAGGTACTCTTTCACTTTCCATCGCCTCAGAATCTTCCGCAATACTAGTATCTTCACCATTTTCTATCGCTTTCAGTGTTCTATGCATTCTTCTCTCATTTCTATCTTTGGGACTGCCTTCTGCATTAGTAGTCTTTCCGTAATTTCTTTTCATTTCCATTATTTCTTCTTTCAATAGTTTCATTTGTTCGCCTATTTCTTTTACTTCGTTGCGAAGAATTTGAATCTCTTTCTCCTTCTTCTGGCAGTCCTTCTCTTTTTCTCTTAGTCTAGTTTTAAGTTCTTTATTTTCCATTCGTAAAAAACACGTCTCATCCTCTTCATCTCCCCCTTCTTTCCTCTGAGGCACTTTAGTGATAGTTCGCGCTAATCCTTTTATAATTTCTTTTGTGTTATGGATCCTACGTTTCATAACACCGGACAAATCGCCCTTAATATTTTTACATCTTATTCTTATTTGATCCGCCTCTTCAAGATATTCAATCGCGGTAGCCGCCATTTCCGGTGCAGAAAGCACATCGTATCCTTCACTATCCTCAGAATCTTCTACTTCGTGTACTCCTAATTCTTCTATTCCTATTTTCTTTCTATGAATTTTCTTTGGTCTTCCTCTTCCTCTCTTTATCACTGTACCAAGCTTTCTTTCTTCCTTTAACACTCCAATTCTTACTTCTTCTCCTTTCTTCCTTTCCGGACCTGTTACTACGTAACAGTCCGCCGCTTCATCATCATCGGAGAGTAACGTATGACGCGCCAACATTTTCAGATTCGCCGGAGGATCTCCCTGTACGCTCATCTGACAACCTTCCTGTGAACTCGAAATGTCTTCATCATCAATAATCTTTTTTGCACCTCTTCTAGCAATCTTTCTATTTTTAATAGATCCTTCTTCATCTTCAGGATCTTCATCCTCTTTTTCCGAGCCTTTTTCCAGCTCTACTCGACTTCTCTTCCTGCTATCTCTATCCACATCCATACTGCAGATACTTCGCAGGCTCACGCGGGAACTCGACCTAGATAGATCGGCACAGGATGCTGTTTTCGATAGCATCCCCACCTGCGACTCTTCCTTTTCATAAGCAGCGGTAGCTACCTGTCCATCAGCGCCCGCTGACAACGCCGACAGCAGCCCTGCGTCCGATGACGACGTGGATCGGGCAGGGACCATACCCGATACCACGCCGGCCTCTGGGGTATCCGACCCCCCTGAGACAGTAATTTTTATCTCTTTTGTTGTACTTGTCATATTGATTTGGATTGTGTTTTCTGTCAGGGTATCACCTCCCTTAGCCGTCCTCAACCTTTTTTTTTTTTTTTTTTTTTTTTTTTTAACGACGGGGAAAATGCATTACGCAGACCCCCCAATGCTCCGGCGCATTGGGGGGTACTGTGGGACTCCCCGGCCCTCAGGAGAGGCTAGTCCTCTCCCTCGGTGTGCAATGCCGGGTATACCCACTAAAAACCCCGTCGTGCAGCCGCCCTTGCTGCAATGCCCAGTCCCCGCGTACACGCGGCAGCATCCCAAACGGGGACCGGGCGGCCCGGCCCAATTAAGGGCCCCTCTCCGCAGGGGTCCGGCCCTGCCCTCCTCTCAGGAAGGAGTACGCGGAGCGATTCAGTTTTTGAATCGGTCCGCGTAGTCCTTCTTCTTCTTCAGTTCCGGCGGGGGGGGTGTGGGAGAACTCTCTTTATGAGGGTCCTCCTCACCCAGCACAGCCCTCGCCATCTCCTTCTCCCGTTGGGCGGCGGAGGATCGGTCAGCCATAGTCCTCTTCTTAGAGGACCCGGCCGAACGACCCTCCCCGCCATCGGTGGAGCCCTTTTCCGAGGCAACGGAAGAGGGACCCTTGTTCGCTTTCGAACGGGTCACTCTCTCCGTCCCCGCGGGCCCTGCTGGGGCGGAGGTTTCGGGGGGTTGAGCCCTACGCGGGCCCCCCTTACTCCCTCCGCCGGAAGCAGCCGGGGCCGCACCCTCGCTCGTCGAGGGTTGCGTGCCCGGGCCCTTCCCCTTCCCGGTGGCCTTTTTGGCCAACGCGGCTTTACGCCGGTGGGCGACCTTTGCGCTAGGCACGCAAGTGGCCGCCCCCAGCGAGTGACCGTCGGGAACCCCAACGTCCGCGCACAGCGGACACTTGGGCGTCCCCGCCGGGCACAGCCGCGACTGGTGGGAGCGGTCGCCGCACCTATGGCAGCGGCCACTCCTGTCCGGCCCTTTACAGCCGGCCGCCCCGTGGCCCACTTCGAGGCAGCGGAAGCACCGCATCCGGCGGGCCGGGAGTGGTTTCACAACCACCACGCCCCACCCGATGCAGAGCTTCCCCGCCTCGACGACCTTGTTGTAGACCGGCACGGGGCAACGCAGCCACACGGAGCCCATCCGACCCGGGAGAAATCGGATTTCTCCCACGGACAGGTCCTCCGCGCAACAGTCCGTCAACCCCGTGACGGCCTCAACCACCTCTTGCCGGGTTACAGAGTCATCCAGCCCCTGAAGGCGCAACTCTGCGCGCTTCTGGGGCCGGGCGACCCTGACTCCCGGCCTCCCCCCCAGGAGTTCTCGCATCTTCGCGAGAAGCTCCCCTGCCAGGCGGGGGCCCTCCGTTCCAGTTAACTGGAACAGAGTGCCCCCAGCCTGGGACTTCTTCAGGACCGCGAGTGTCCCGCTCCCCCGTATGATCTCCCTTGCGGGGGCGATCAACTTCAAGGCCTCCCCCATGGTCATCCCCGCCTCAGGGGTGACGGTCAGAAGGACCGCCGCCGTCTTCGGCTCTCGGATGACCCCGGCGGAGGCCTTGCCCTTCTTCTTCTGGGGGGGCACCTTTCCAGCAGGTGCCCCCTCAGCGCCCTTCTTCGGGCCCTTCTTCTTCTTCTTCCCACTGCTCCCCCCTTTGCCACTAGGGGCAGGGGGGGGAGCAGTCTTCTGGGAAGAAGTACCCGCCTCTCCGCGGGTCTTGCGGGCCTTCCTGCCCACCACCTTGCTCCACAACTCCCTCCCTTCCGCGGGAGGGGGCCTTGGAGGCTCGGTGGGCCGGGCCGTCTCCTCTGTTCGGGGTCGGAGCACCTCGACGACCCGAGCCACGATTCTCTCGACCAAGAGGTCTTGAGAGGCGGCCGGGACCCCGAGGGGCTCCTCCCGAACGGAGACTGGAGGTGGAGGGTCATCCCTCAACACGGGAGGTCCCTCCATCTCCGTCTCCATCGCCTCGATGCCGCACTCCGCCCCTGGGGGCGGTGTGGGGCACGGGGAGGGCAAGGTCCTCTCGGCTCTGGTGGCCCGAAGGGTCTCCTTCGCCTTGAGGACCTCAACCTCCCTCTCCAACTTCTCCACCTTCCTCTGGGCCTCCTCGAACAGACCCTTCGCGGCCTCAAGGTCGCGACGGGTCCGCTCGAGGGCCCCTCTCTCCGTTTGTTCACCCGCGCTGATGTTCGCGCGGGTGAACAAGAGCTTGGAGGCGGCCAGAGCTCGCCGCGTCGCAGCCCGAAGCGCTCCCCTCAGGGTACCCTTCAGGGACTTCGAGCGCTCAGCGACGCGCTCCACCGCCTCCATCTCTTCCATGACGACGTTTATGAGGGAGTCGACGGTCTCGTTGTCGAGCTCCCTCATCACGTCGTAGGAGGAGGGGAGTCCCCCCGCGGTCGGTCCGAAGTCAACTTCGAACCTGGCCCCGAGGATATCCCGCTCCTCCTTCACGCGCTCCAGCTCCTTCTTCAGGAGCTCCATCTCCTTGCGGACCCCCTCGACACCGACCCACTCGCCGGTTGTCGCGGGGCGTCCGCGTCCGCGCTTCGGTCGCGCGTCCCCCCCGTGCTTCAGGGTATACGCCGTATCCGATGAGAACTCGGAGAGCGACATTTCGTTGTCGGTCCCCGAGCTCACGTCGGACGACGCACCCTCGTCGTCGGTGGAGGCCACGGCTTTCGGCGCCGTGGGCCCCACCCTCTTCCTCTTGGAGGACAGTGGACCAGGACGCTTGAAGCAAGCCTCCTCGTCCTCTGCCCTCGCCGTCGAAGGACCCGGGGTCGCCGGCGCTGGACTAGCCTGCGCTCCCGGATCCTGCCTCGTGCTCCTGCGCACGGGGTCTTTACTCCCCTCACCACCAAGGCCTGGAACGGTCTTCCTCAGACCCTTGGCTAACACAGAGATAGCCATATCTCCACCGGAGCTCTCTGCAAACTCCGATGGAAGCCCGACGTCGGATGACGACGAGGGAGGGGCCGGGACGATACCCCCCGCACCCGCCGGGCCCTGTGGCTCCGAAACCACTGGGCCGGTAAGGTCTTCTCTCTTCTTGGTGTGCTGCATATCTGAAACAAAGAAGTTGGTTTTCTGTCGGGGTTTTCCTTCCCTTAGGACATGCCGTCCAGAGGCTCACGGGCTGTCCAGACCGGGTTTTTAATTCGAGGTTTTCCTTCCTCTAGCCACCGGGATGGTAGACCCTGACAGTGCAGGGGCATCCCTAACGGTCGTGGCCGACCGGGCGATTGAAGTCAGGGCCGCCTACCCCTATGCGCATCAGGCCAAGGTGCCCGGAGGGAGCGCAACCCCCCTTCTCGTGATGTCCGCGCGGCGGCTTTGGGCTACTCTCATACTCGCTACTCACGGCCCGAGGGCCGCTTTCGTTTTCGCTTTCACCCGCCACCACCGCGACGAACACCACGAGGAAGTGCAATGGTGCGCTCTTAGACCCCTCAACCCGAAGGAAGAGGGGAGCTCCTCCACCACGACAAGGTGGCGCACCATCGGAGGAGTGCACCCTTCAAAAAGGGCCGAAAACAGGATCCGGATCGCTACGGGTCCCCTCGGAGACCACGCACGCCGGCCACCCTGCCCACTAGTTTTTATTCCCCCTCTGCCGGGGGACCACCACTGGTGGTGTCCCCCCAGGTGTCCAGCCACCCAGGGGGACCCAGATGATTCGCGTGTGCCTTCGCTTGTTTTAGAGTGGGGTAAGGCAGGCCCCCACTAGGTAGACTCTTGTGTTGAGAGATGTGCCTTCCTCTCGACCGAGCTCCCCTCATTTAATGGAGGGGCCCACTCACCTAGGCAGAATCGGCAGAGAAGTATCTCGTCGACTACTACCGGGGCGATGCCCTTCCCGGCGTTTGATCGACGGTCCCGCTCGATCGCTAGGCCGGCACACCGCCCGTTCAGGCACTAACCATTTGACCGAGGTGATCGCATTGTAGATACACCTCGGCACCGGATGCCTCCGCGTTTTCCGGCTGGAGGAAGGCATACCCCACCTTGTGGATGAAAGGCTTGGGATCACCCAAGTCTACTGATGTTCCCGGGTCCCACCGACCCTATCCGTATGAGCACCCAAGTACCCGCTGAGCCCAAGAACCGAAGTTCCCCGATTCCACCGACCCTATCCGAATGGAAGGTCCTACGGACCCAGCAAAGCACTAAAGGGACACCAGCAGACCATTACAGTGGTCCCCTCACCCTCATCGACCCTTCCCGTGTCCCTGCATCCGCCTTTTTATACAGGAGGAATGCAGACTCCTGTTGCAGCCATGTCAGCCTCGGGGACCAATGGACCCGTCACTTGACATGACCGCGCCACTCGACGGCATCCGTGACTCGAAATAAGCGTGCATCCGATTTTTCCGGAGGGTGATGCACAAACCCTCGACACACCTTCTACCCGACGCGAGCTAACCTGAAAAGTAAAATAGTATTAGCTTAAAACTAACTTAAAACTAACTTAAAACTAACTTAAAATTAACTTAAACTAACTTAAAACTAACGAAAACAAAAAACGCTGAATTGATCTCATCGCAGATCAACCAGCACCGGACGCCTTCGAGTTTTTCAAAGCTGGGGAAGGCGCACCCCACTCTGTGGATGAAAGGCTCGGGAGCATCTGTCCGCCTCAGCTTCCCCGGGTTCCACCGACCCTATCCGAATGGAAACCTTGTGACCCACTTGAGCCCAGGAACCGAAGTTCCCTGGTCCCACCGACCCTATCCGAATGGGAACCTCAGGACCCAAGTGAGCCAGAAACCTTAGCGGAGGTTTCGATGCTCCCCTCACCCTCATCGACCCTTCCCGTGTCCCTGCATCCGTCTTTTACCCAGGGGGAATCCAGACCCTTGTTGAGATATGTCAGCCTCGAGGTTAGTGACCCGTCACCTGACATGCCTCGCCACTCGACGGCAACCGTGACTCGAAGCAAGTGTGCATCCGGTTTTCCGGAGGGTGATGCACTACCCCTCGTCCCACCTCCCGCTTTCGCCGCAGAGGTGGGTAACCTACCCGAAGTTTCTAAAATCGCCTCCCGGTAGAGGCGGTTTGTGCAGCAATGTCCCAATCGAGACATCATTGTCTCGATCGAGACATTACCGCACCCGGCTGCCTACGTTTATTTATACAGGGGTGGGCAGGCCCCCTGTCGCCGACGTGCAACGCCGACTCTTAACCCGTGTCCCCGCCTCCGCGTTTTTTATTTAAAGCGAGGGGAGGCGGACCCCCGCTTGCGGTATGTTGACCGGTGGATTCAAGTGGGTCTTCCACAGGAACCCATCATCCAACATGACCACGCCATACGGGCACACGTGACTCAAATTAAATGTGCATCCGGTTTTCCGGAGGGTGATGCACCACCCCTCAACCTCACTTCCCGCTTGAAGAGCGGAAGATGGGCTTTCCTACCCGAAAGAAGCTCCGCCTCCACGTGGAGACGGTTTTGTGCTGTGTTGTTTCCATCGGGAAACACTATCGTGCTTCGCGACGGAAGTCACCACTGCACCCGGCTGCCTTCGATTTTTTATACAAGGGTGGGCAGTCCCCCTGTTGCCGACGTGCGACGCCGGCTCCTTCCCGTGTCCCCGCCTCCGGATTTTTTATTTAAAGCGAGGGGAAGGCGGACCCTTCGCTTGCGGTATGTCAGCCTCCAGGTATCGTAAACACAATACCCTTTACTTGACATAAGGACTGCTCCACTCGACGGTTCCCGAGACTCGAAATGAATATGCCTCCGATTTTTCCGGAGGGTGAGGCACCAACCCTCTTGAAAACAAGCCGCGACCCGAAGACTCTACTGCCCGGTGGCTAAAAAGATGGTGGATTTCCGCGTCTCTCCGAGGAGAGACCCGAACTCCACCCACACACACACTCACACATACACACACCATTCACACACGGGGGACACCGCCACCGAGATTATCCCCGCCTCTGGCCCGGCAGGTGACTAAGTCACCCTACCAGTCCTTCGGGCGAGGGTCCCGGCCGGTTCCCATTTTTTCCCCACTGAGGGACGCTTCACGGCGGGAGCACCCGCCGATCCGCCACCTCATCCCACGGGAGCATCCGTTCAAGTCACGGGCGGAGAGCTAGGCTCCCCCTGCAGTGCCGTGCCACTGGGCGATTGAAGTCAGGGCCGCCAACCCCTTCCAGCGAACGAGACTGGCCCGCGGCAGCAGACCTCGTCTCTATGGAGTCGCTGGGCTCCATCTGCACCCAAAGCCGGGTACCGTGCTATTTGAAAGCGGGCGCCACCCCGAAGAAGGTAGAAGTTGAGACCTTGGGACAATCGGTCGAGGAAGAAGGATGGGAGGTTTAGGATGGGAGGAAGAAAGAATGGGTTGGGTGTTCTTCCACCCGTAACAGCCCCATTGTGCCGGGTTTGGAGTCAGGGTTTTCCTTCCCCTATGCGCATCAGGCCATAAAGCCCGGAGGGAGCGCAACCCCCCTTCTCGTGATGTCCGCCCACGACGACTTCGGATTACTCACATACTCGCTACTCACGGCCCGAGGGCCGCTTTCGTTTTCGTTTTCATCCTCAGCCGCCGCCTACAGCGAACACCACGAGGAAGTGCAATGGTGCGCTCTTAGACCCCTCAACCCGAAGGAAGAGGGGAGCTCCTCCACCACGACAAGGTGGCGCACCATCGGAGGAGAACCTAACCTAACCTAACCTAACCTTAGGGGACCGGGACCGACTTAAGCCCCTCCACCACGTCAAGGTGGCGTCCACGGAGGGGAACCTAACCTAACCTTTTTTTTTTTTTTTTTTTTTTTTTTTTTTTTTTTTTTTTTTTTTTTTTTTAACGTGGAGAAATCCTCATGGATACCCGCCCCCCCGGGGAGAGGGACGGGTTATGCCGGACTCTTACCGGCTAAAACTCCACGGTGGTCCTCCAGGGCCCCCCTTATGCACTCCCAGGGGAGGGAATTAAAGGCATTCGCAATGTCAATTGATACTGCTACCACTTCCCTCCCCTGGGAGACTGCCTCTTCCGCGAGAGATCTAACGTGCATGATCGCATCGATCGTTGAACGTCCCTCGCAAAATCCATATTGACATTCAGCCAGATCGGGGCCCTCCTGAATCAAATGCCTCCTCAGGCGGGCCGCTATAATTCTTTCAAATAGTTTGCCCGCCTCGTCAAGGAGGCATATGGGGCGGTACGCCGATGGGGATCCCTCCGGTTTGCCCTCCTTGGGGATGAGCACCAAGCGTGCTATCTTCCAAATTTTGGGGAAATGTCCGGTCATCAAACAATGATTGAATAAAGACCGAACACTTTCCTCTAAAACTGACAAGGCAGCCACCCGTGTTGCTCGCCCAGTCCCGGGTCTACGCAGTAGCATTACCCTGAGACCGGACAGCCCGGGCCATTTAAGGCCCCCTTCTCGGGCGCCCTTTAACGGGCGCCAGCTGCTTTAGCAGCCTTCTCCGCCAATACCGCGTCCGGAGGCCGTCTCCGGCGACGCGTCTGGCCACGCGCCTGAGGGGGAAGAAATTCTTCCCCCCACTCCCGAACTTTGTCGGGAGCACTCCCGAGGCCTACTGCCCGCGAGGCCTCTGCCTCGAGCGGGGAACCTTTACGGCATCCCCGCTTTTTCCCAGGGGGGGAGGTACCGCCTTCTACCCCCCTGGGTATCGCCGCAAGAGACTCCCGCTTATCGCCCCCATCCGACCTCCTGTCGGGAATGGGGCTGCGGGAGGCCCTGCAATGGCGTCGGAGATGGGTGGGGGAGCCACAACGGTAGCATACACCCCGCCAATCTCAGCCACCGCACAGGCGCGCGGTGTGATCCACCGCACGGCACCTAAAACATCCCTCGGTCTGGTCGCCGTCTTAACGGCCGAACCAGGACCCGAGGGGGAATTGGAAAAAAAAAAAAAAAAAAAAAAAAAAAAAAAATGTTTCAGACAAAAGTTGTATGGTTTCAAAGGGAACAGAAGGTGGTGTTATTAGTTTGACCTTGAAGAGCTTCCTGAAGATCACGTGAAGGTTACCTTCAACTTTTTAAATGGGACAAACTAACTAACTTAATTATAGTGTTTTGGAAAGCTCTTGAGATAAGCTACAAGAATATGCAAAAGCATATAGGGTGTCCCATTTAAAAAGTTGGAGCTGACCTTCACGTGACCTTCAGGTGGCTCTTCAAGATCAAACTAATGACACTATCTTATGTCCTCCTTGAAACCATACAACTTTTGTCTGAAACATTTTTTCGTATTCGGCTTACCAACGGAGATATTCAGGTGCGTCGATTAAAATCGGCCACGGTGTATATAATATACATATACAGGGTGATTCAAAATAACCCCTGTGTCCGTAAAATGACACATTGTTGAGTCAATTCTAAGATGATTTTTCCTTTTGCAAAATTTCGTCCGAAGCTTAGTTTTCGAATTATTAAAGAAAATAGTTAACGCATGACGGGTCGGATACAACCCTGCCGAAAATGGTCGATTAAAACTGATTAAAATAAAAAGTAATTCGAATCGATCGGGATTTCTGCACCGAAAATACGGTATTAAAACCGATTGAAAATATACTCTGCCGAAAATGGTTGATTAAAACAAAAAGTAATTCAAATCGATCGGGATTTCTGTATCAAAAACGATATTAAAGCAGATTGAAAATAGTCAAATTCTGGCGGATTAATGTTGGGTGATATACATCCATCTCAATCCGAAATTATACGATTTCATAAGTTATAGTTAAATCGGTTTTAATGCGTTGTGAATCTGTCGAAGGATGACAAAAATAATCCGTTGCTATTTGAAATTCTACGATTTTGCGGATTACATCGCGATAGACAATTAAAACAGTGTCAAATGTCTTGCTTATATTTCATGAAAATTTTATTTTAATTATCACATTCTACAAGAATACTGTCATATATTTTACGATACTGCTTGGTTGAATTTCCTTTAACACATTAGTTTTAAAACCTTATAATAAACTCATATTATAACAAAACGTAAACTTATGATAAATGAATAACACATCATAACTGTATGGTATAAAACTTTAAGTAATACAAACAATTTGTATTAAAATTGGAAATAAAATCTTCAAAAACACAAAATTGTTTAAACATAAACAAAAACATTTTAACAAAAGAAACAATTTTTGTTTTACAGTACTATTCTTATACAATATTATTTCTATATATTTTTCTTTTTTTTAATTTAAAATACTTTCATACTGTTGAAAACTTGCAAAAGAAATTCGAAACACAACTGATATTTAAAAGAACAAACTTTTCTGACCATTACGATGAATGAATTTCGGGCGAGTAATCGTAAAGACGACTATCTTCGTCATCCTCAACATTTACGTCTTCCTCGCTTCGTTCGTCAGTCTCTTCGCTGCTTTTACTTTTCTTGCTTTTGTTTTTATCGCTGTTTTGTCATTTTCGCTTTTTCGCATTTTCGTCAATGACTTTTTCACGCGAACCTTTCTTTAAATCAGCAAGTTTTTTTTCCCACGTAATAATAAAATTTCGATAATTCTCTCATTAGTATTGTCTTTGTGAGGAGCGTCAGCAAATTGCTTTTTATACGTGTTATTTATCCAATGCTTGTATACATCTGTATGAACAAAAATAAAAATGACAAAAATACTTTAACTCAATACTATGTTCTTAAAAAACAAAACATTAAAATAACATAGTATTCTCAAACGATTAATTATAAAACGATTACCGATTACTAAAATATTCCATTGATTTTATTTAGAAATTATTAGTAATAAACGTTACATTCTTATATATTTATATTGATATTATATGAACAATTAAACACGTTTTACCTTCACAAGCCCCCAATTTCTTTTCGTTCAGTTTATTGCATAGTCTTTTTTCACCGTGTCGTGCACTAGTGTATCCTGTAATAGTGTTAGTCATGAGCAATTCATCGTCGAAAACAGGGAAAATAATGTTACTTGCAAATTGACGAGGAGTTTTCGACGAGTTGCACACTCTGTTATAGTGGATTTCACTAATCCACTCGTTTCGCCCAATGTGGATCTGTAGTGCATACATTTATTTTTATTACCACGACGAACAATTTTTATAAATAATACATGGAAAAGCCTGTACTCATTACCATCCCATTAGACTGTCTTGTCAAAATTGGTGGAAAATTATTTTCATACTGCATGTTGATATTGGCAGTCAATATGGTTTTCAGCGTTGCTGTAAAAATTAAAATATTTTGGTTATTTTTATCTATAATCATAACGATTAAAAAAAAAAGTACAAGACTGCTCAGACAACACACATGTCTAAAAGATAACTAAAAATCAAAAATTAATATTGAAAGGCAGTTAAGAGCCAACGCAGTTGTAGGGCGTGGATAGAATAATTTCCAGAACAGCGACTTGATTTTAACGATCCATTCGCTTTATTCCAAACGTGTCGGACTCGATTCGAGCCTTCTTTAGTGATTCTAATACAAACCAAGAAAAATAAATAAATCAGATGAGAACAGAATAAAAACGCAGTATCAATAAAATACAATAGAAAGGAGAAAGCATAATCACAAGCATGCATGGTCTATAGAAGTGACGCGACTTCGTCAAGGCTGATCTATCCGAGAACGTACGATGCAAGAAGCCCTCTCAACGGTACAAAGCGCGAAGAGCGATGCACTGACAAAATAAATATAATCAAAACTAGTCACACATCTTAAAAAAGAGATAAATTCATTAACTATCGTCAAAGATCACTCACTCACTCGGACAAGAGACGGACCAGCAGAAACGACACGAAATAATCGACACGCTAACAATCGAATGAGCGGATAATTCGAACGGTAACGGTGATAATGTAAAAATGTGGTCGGCAATAACAAACCATATATACAGAGGACAAAGACAGTCAGAACAGAAAACAACCCGTTAAATTTTCGGCATGTTTTCAACAATCGACAGGCATGAAGTATTTAATTTTAAAGTGTCGCTTTGGAGGTTCAATGCATTCTTTTGGCGCTTAATATAAATCATTTCCGATATTAGTCTTTTTCCTAAAAACGCTTCCTCATCCAAAATCTCAACGTCCTCGAAATCAAAAGTGTGATTAAGCGCTCTATGTTCGGCAATGACGGACGTAAGGCTTCTTCTATGTTCTTTGATCCTCGTTCTTAGCAAACGGCCCGTTTGTCCTACGTAGGACGCGTCACAATCTGTGCAATTAATTTTGTACACGATATTACTGCGCGAATCCTTCCGTAAACGGTCCTTGCCGACTTTAATAAATTTGCGCAAATTGTTTATTCCGGTGTAAGAAAGCCTAACATCAAGGTCTCTCACACAGTATCGGAAACGTTCTGAAATGTTCTTCACATATGGAACATTAAAATATGTGATCTTACTTCCACCTCTCTCATCGTCAATCACACTCTCATCATCCCTCAAAGCGTTGTCACGTTTCTTCTTAAATCTATAAAAAAGGATATTGAACCGATCGACAATCGTGCGAAAGATAAGAGAGAGCGGATATCCATTGTTCAGAAGGATGTTAAGAACAATTTCGAGATTTTCTTTATGAAATTTAGGATGAGAAAGCCAAAAGACCTTATCTATTAAACCAATGATCGTGCCCTTTTTCTGGCAAAGGGGATGTCGCGACTCGAAGTGGAGGTACCTTCCCGAGAAAGTTGGTTTATGAAACCAGTTAAATTCAATATATCCATTCTCTAAAATAATTGTGATGTCAAGAAAATTCAACCGGTTGTCGACGCCCTCCTCAATAGTGAATTGCAACCTTGTGTGGAACGAGTTAAAAGTGTTCAAGATAGCATTGAGCATTGAGGAGGGGGCCGCCAACACGATGTCGTCAACATATCTAAAATAAAAGGGAAGATGCATAGATAGAGCCGCGATCGCCCTTGCCTCCAAATCTTGCAGCTCAATGCTCAATGCTCAATATTATCTTGAACACTTTTAACTCGTTCCACACAAGGTTGCAATTCACTATTGAGGAGGGCGTCGACAACCGGTTGAATTTTCTTGACATCACAATTATTTTAGAGAATGGATATATTGAATTTAACTGGTTTCATAAACCAACTTTCTCGGGAAGGTACCTCCACTTCGAGTCGCGACATCCCCTTTGCCAGAAAAAGGGCACGATCATTGGTTTAATAGATAAGGTCTTTTGGCTTTCTCATCCTAAATTTCATAAAGAAAATCTCGAAATTGTTCTTAACATCCTTCTGAACAATGGATATCCGCTCTCTCTTATCTTTCGCACGATTGTCGATCGGTTTAATATCCTTTTTTATAGATTCAAGAAGAAACGTGACAACGCTTTGAGGGATGATGAGAGTGTGATTGACGATGAGAGAGGTGGAAGTAAGATCACATATTTTAATGTTCCATATGTGAAGAACATTTCAGAACGTTTCCGATACTGTGTGAGAGACCTTGATGTTAGGCTTTCTTACACCGGAATAAACAATTTGCGCAAATTTATTAAAGTCGGCAAGGACCGTTTACGGAAGGATTCGCGCAGTAATATCGTGTACAAAATTAATTGCACAGATTGTGACGCGTCCTACGTAGGACAAACGGGCCGTTTGCTAAGAACGAGGGTCAAAGAACATAGAAGAAGCCTTACGTCCGTCATTGCCGAACATAGAGCGCTTAATCACACTTTTGATTTCGAGGACGTTGAGATTTTGGATGAGGAAGCGTTTTTAGGAAAAAGACTAATATCGGAAATGATTTATATTAAGTGCCAAAAGAATGCATTGAACCTCCAAAGCGACACTTTAAAATTAAATACTTCATGCCTGTCGATTGTTGAAAACATGCCGAAAATTTAACGGGTTGTTTTCTGTTCTGACTGTCTTTGTCCTCTGTATATATGGTTTGTTATTGCCGACCACATTTTTACATTATCACCGTTACCGTTCGAATTATCCGCTCATTCGATTGTTAGCGTGTCGATTATTTCGTGTCGTTTCTGCTGGTCCGTCTCTTGTCTGAGTGAGTGAGTGATCTTTGACGATAGTTAATGAATTTCTCTCTTTTTTAAGATGTGTGACTAGTTTTGATTATATTTATTTTGTCAGTGCATCGCTCTTCGCGCTTTGTACCGTTGAGAGGGCTTTTTGCATCGTACGTTCTCGGATAGATCAGCCTTGACGAAGTCGCGTCACTTCTATAGACCATGCATGCTTGTGATTATGCTTTCTCCTTTCTATTGTATTTTATTGATACTGCGTTTTTATTCTGTTCTCATCTGATTTATTTATTTTTCTTGGTTTGTATTAGAATCACTGAAGAAGGCTCGAATCGAGTCCGAAACGTTTGGAATAAAGCGAATGGATCGTTAAAATCAAGTCGCTGTTCTGGAAATTATTCTATCCACGCCAACTGCGTTGGCTCTTAACTGCCTTTCAATATTAATTTTTGATTTGTTAATTTAAAGAAGCCTTTAACTTTATTTTATGATAACTAAAAAGATGACTTAAAGATGTCTTATTGTCTTTTACATCTTTAAGATATCTTTTGACCTTTCTGTGTTATCTGGGTAGCCATACAGAATGTAATATCACTTATTAGTGCATTTATTATACTTCAAGAATTTCTGGTACTTTTATAAACTGATAAGAAAGATAATGTATACACAATTTCCTACCTTCGCATTCGTCAATTTTATCGATCAACGCCATTTGCAGTCGTTCGTTTAATTTTCTTACATTTTTCAACTCGGACATTGCTTCCTCCAGCTTTTGTTTTATTTCTTTACGTTCATTTCGTAATTTGTCATTGCGTTCCTGTAATTCTTCAATCCTTGATTGTAATTTCGAGGTTTTTGCACTGAGCAACGATCTTTTTTTTAACTGCAAAAAATGAGTACAAAAATTTAAGTTATAAATGTATAATAGAGTACTACTACTATAGCAGAGTACTATGTATATTGCAGAGAGGAAAATGTATCCAATGTAAAGACATATGAGATAAAATAATTTTCATCAATATTTCAATGAAATATTTACAATATTTCGACTAAACATTTACTATAAGCTATTATGAAAATTAATTACAATAAAAAATAACTTTTCAGCTTTAAAATCTTGAACAACGTTAGTTATCTTCGCACAAAAATGTCACAATGTATAAACGTTTAAAAACGACTTTTAGGATCTTTTTGGGGTACACTGATTACAGTACTTAGAAAACAATGCATGATAAAATTATTATATACCTCTGAAATATGGTTGTCTACATCAGTGGTGCTTTCTTCATATTTAGAAATCTAAAAAAACACAGTGATATGAATTCCAATTGATCAATGCGTGTAGCAAAAATAAATTGTTAATTACAATAATAAAATTAAATACATTAATGGTTTCAGAACAACGTGTGGTCAAATTGCAGAAATTATTAATTATTAATTAAATATGTACCTTCGAATCATTCATTTGTAATGGATCATTTTTCGAATCATTTGCTTGTAATGGGTCGTTTTTGGAATCATTCGCTTGTAATGGATCGTTTTTCGAATCATTCGCTTGTAATGGATCGTTTTTCGAATCATTCGCTTGTAATGGATCGTTTTTCGAATCATTCGCTTGTAATGGATCGTTTTTCGAATCATTCGCTTGTAATGGAACGTTTTTCGAATCATTCGCTTGTAATAGATCGGTTTCTTCAAATTCAATCGTCTAAAAAATAACGTCATAGAATAAATAAGTTTAGTTTTTAATATTTACCTCTATTGTCATAGAATTAAATACCAATCTAAAACTACGTTTTTGCCTTCGCGTTCATTTCAAATATTATTATTTATCTGAACATGCAAAAAATATATTGCAGTTATAAAAATAAATAATTATAAAAATAAATAAATTTATTAAGTTCTAATGATTTATTTGTAATATACTTAAAAATATTGTACAATACCTCCGAATTAATGCAGCCCCCTTCTAATGCTGGTTCTATACATTCCGACGACTGTGTCTCAGGAATTAGTGGATCCCAAAATCCTTTTAAGAAAAAAAAGATATTTTATATAACATTTTATACAATTATATACAACTGTATTTTATATAATGTATCATAAAAGTCATGAGAAATTATAATATAACATTATAAATATACCATCTGGTGTTTTAGGTCTCTCATACTTATGCCGCGCGCATTTATTTTTTCGCTTCTGCAATTTGTCTTTTGACAGTGATAAATTCTTGTAATACTAAAAGATTACATACAGAATTAGAAAAATTAATACTTCTTTATAATGAAAATATTTCCTTTATGTGTACATATTTTGTGTAATTATATATTGATATTACTTTTTCACATTCCCAGCAATCCCAACCATTTAGCTTTGCTCTGTCAGCTTTGCGTCGTATATCAATCTGCTCTGCCTCCTTGTTATACTTGATTGGAATTACAAGCCGAGATTGCTTCAATCAAAGTTTCCCATTGAAATTGCAATATATTTACACAGTTAAAATATTGATAGCAAAATATTCTACATTTTTTATATTCAATTTCGTATGATTTTAATATAAAAGTTGTCATCAAGCTTTAGAAAACAGAGCAGATGTAAGTCAATATATTAATTAGATTTAAAAACAGAATAATAAAAAAAAGAAAAAGAGGAAAAACAAGAAACCAAAACAAGACAAAAAAGTAAAGTAAAATTAATTCCTAAAATTAAAAGCGTGTTTCTGTAAAAAAACTACAAAAAATGTTACAAAAAGATCGTAATTGGAAGTTAATAATAAATAAGAATAAGCGGGGCTCAGTGTTCGAAGCACAAATTGATACAGAATAAGTAAAATAATTTCATTTATCCCAAAGATCCTACTAATACAAAAAACTAACTATAATATATAATACTAACTATAATATATAATATATATTTAATTATTTATAAGAAACATAAGAGAAATAATTAAGTAACACTATGTATTTTGATGAAAATACTTTGGAATATATGTACATAAAATTTGTTGCAAACATTTTATGTTATACCTGTTCATTAGCATTTTCATCGACATCTTTTATTGTAGGCGACTGTTTCGATAACTTTTCCAGTTTCACTGATAATACTTTTTCCAAAACCTTAAACATGAATGTCAATATATAAGATATATAATATAAAATAAAATAAAATAAAATTAACGATTCTGATTATTATTTATATAATATATTGTATATTATACGTATATTATACAATTTGAACATGAAAAATATAAACTTACTGAATTACTTTCTTGTGTACTTTTCGAAGATGTCATACTGTTAAGTGATAAATTAATGATTTCATCTGAGGATGATGAGCTACTCGATGCCGTTATCATCAAACGTTCCGGAATAGCAGGCAACCTTTTCAAAGTTTCCAGTCGCTTTTCGATATCATCTTTCGAGTCTGCAAAATAATAAATTACGCGTTTCATGTCTGATTTAAAATAAAGAGGTATATATTAGTTTCATATTTTTAAACAAAATAATTTTGTTAAGAAATAAAATGTGCATTACATACCTTCTAATAACATAATTATTCCTAAGCACATTTTTTTCTTCACCTCCACGTGATACTTAACATTGTTTTTATGTGTGTTTATTGAAAAATTTCGGATTTCAGAGGTACGCACAATTATTTTTTTCCCTCTGTTAGGACCATCAAGGAGTTTCACATACGCGTACATTTTGTTCTTTTGTTATAAAAAAATTTTAACTTACAAAGAAAACAGTGAAATGTGAATATTGTAACGATCGACCTGGTATTACGAGATTAAGCGGTTTTCAGACAAAATCTATTCTGCACACATGCCGCAGAACGTTTTGAGCAGCACGATGCTTCCCGCTTCGCTGCATCGACTCGAGTCCTGATCCCCCGTCACGCGATAGAAGTGAATGACAGTCTTGACTGGCACGAGCCTGCGTGCACATGCTCGACCGGTTGTCGCTTGTCGCAACGGTCGCAATTCAAGCGCCCATAATCAAAGCGAAGTAGCCACTACACACGCAGACTGCCTAACATAACCGTAATCCAGGAATAAAGGTTACACAGGATAAAGATTAGTGATTCTTTACAATATATTATTACGAATGCCTATAATAACAGTGTAACATCGGATTATTGTCGCACGAGTGTTATTGTTCGAAATACATACAGTTTTTGCAATTTGCGCCTTTCTTCGCTTATGATGAGCTCTTTCCATTTTTGTCGTTGCGGCGTTCTCAACTAAATTCAGATGCGGTGCAACAGGAACACGTGATTGAATTTTGTTCATGATTGAACTATATGTAGAAAATAAATAAATTCTACTATTTGCTGATGCACAATTATTTCAAGTATGTGTTAAAAATAAGTTGTACATAATGTTTCACGCTGCATATACAATACTAGATGAAAGTATATCAGATAGTATAACGACGATACCCCAACATGGAAAATCGTAAAAAAATAAGACGTTATAAAATGGGTTTATACAAGAACTACGAAAAATTATACGAGTACAATGTATCTCCACGCACATCAGCAATATGGAAAACTCTTGCCATAGCTCAACATTGTAATATTGAAAGTGAGTAAATAATATAAATTCATAATCTACATATTATGAATTGTGCATTAATATGATTTTATTTTTTTGTAAAACGGTTTCTTTGAAAATGAAAACAGTACAATAATAGCTTATTTATTATGACCCAGTAAGCAAAATGTGCACAATATGCCAACAGATTGGCAACAAATTCATTTACTAATAATCGTAAATTTCTGTCACAAAATATTTTTTTCCCTAGAAGAATGTATGTTTTTTTCATTTATTTTTTAAATAAATAGTATAATTGTTACATTATATTAGTAATAATGTTATAGGATTGCAAATATTGTAAGTCGTAACACGTGTTGTTTGTTAGGAAATAATTTTTGCACCGGAATAATGTCTCATTCATCAGTTCTTATATATCAATATATATATATCATACTTCTAATATATCAAAAAGTTAAGAAAATATGACATATGATATATACTTTCGCAATATTTTCTTCATTTCTGAAATACACTTTATTTACAACAATCGCTTAATTTTTATATCTGGGTTTACTCTACATTACAATTCTAAATTATATAATTCTTATACAGATAATACTGGAGTCCATAAAGGCATCAGAAATGCTGCTTGTAGAGACGATTACAATAACATTGCCGAACAACTGGGGGATTGCAGCGAGAGATCTGATGCGAATGACATTACCATGCAGTATTCCCCATGTACGACAAAGACAGCAAGAAATAAAGGAGATAATGACGACACAATTAACAGTAATAAATTTAACAGTAGTGACATAGATTGCATCGACGATGAAAATGAAATAAATAACGAAGAAAGTATGGATAATAGAATAACGGACGACTGTGACGACAACGAAAGTGAAACGAGAAAAGAAAAAGATGACGAAGATAGTTATATTACCGAAAGCGATGTGGATGACAACGATAAATGTATTGAGGAGCAAACGAGTGAAGAAGACGATATCGCATTCGACGATACTGTATTATTTCCAGAGTCCAATTTGACAATACGAGACATAATGATAATAGTCGTCGCATTTTCACTCCGATTTAAGCTGTCAGACGTTGCAAAATCTGCGCTTATAAACATGATAAAATTATTGGCCGGGCTAAAATTCGAAAAAATTAATATTTCCAAATATACTTTAGCTAAAGCATTCGATCCACCAGACAGCAAAGTAGTTTATCACTATTTCTGCGACAAGTGTCATACCAAAATTCTGTATTCGACGTCGAGAAAAAAGTTGATAAAACAATCAATAACGTGTGACTCTTGTAAAAAAAAACATGTAATTTCATTGAGATCCAATAATTACTTCATGTCAATTGATGTAAGATATCAGTTAGAAATGCTTTTTTCTCACGAAGCAATCAAAGCTGAGATATTCGATTTTATTTCATCAAAAAGTAATAGTCATGCCAATAACTTAAATATTATAACAGATATTTACGACAGTGAAATTTATAGAAATATTTCGAAAGCTGTTAATTTCATAATAACATTCAATTACAGTACTGATGGCGCCCCTTTAACTAAAAGTGGGAAACGAGGATTTTGGCCACTACAAATAATTTTAAATTGTTTACCACCTAAGAGTAGATTTAAATACGTTCTTTTAGCCGGCCTACTAATGTGCACTCACGAACCGAACAGTAAATTACTGGACTTGTATTTTTTAAAATTTAATGATCAAGTTTCTTACCTTTACAATAACGGTATTACTGTTTGTGGTCCTAATATAAATAATAATAAAAAAATTCTTGTAAAATTTTGACCCTTAGCGTGTTCCGTTGATTCCGTCTGCCGTCCAATCATGCAAAATAGAGTGCAATTTAATGGAAGATATGGCTGTAGTTGGTGCTATCACCCCGGAGAATACGTCGCAGAAATACATGGAATAAGATATCCCATACGTGAACATGATCCACCTTTACGGACTGCTGATAGTCATCACAAGAATGTTCAACTTGTACGTGATTTAAAAAAAAGCAGTGAAATGGGCGTACGAGGTGATATCTCAGTATCTCAAATTCCACAAATTGACATGGTTTGGTCATTTGCTTATGAATACATGCATGGTATTTTCTGTGGTGTAAGCAAATACATTTGGAATCAGTGGACTGCTTCAGATTCTAAGTCGTATTTTAAATTGAATAAAGCCGAGCAAGATACTATTAACCAACGCTTGAGTTTAATAAAACCGACTCAAGATATTCATAGACTTCCGGAATCTTTGCATGATCGCAAAGTGGAAGGCATCAGCGGAAAAGTCATGGCTATTGTATTATAGTTTGCCATGCTTTAACGGCGTTTTAAATCAGGATGCATTTACGCACTATTCCTTACTTGTAAATAGTTTGTACGTATTGTTAAAAACTGAAATAACTGCAAATGAACTGAAACAGTGTGAATACGATTTATTGAAGTTTGCAGGTTATTTTGAAGTGTACTATGGACGACAAAAGATGACTTTTAATGTGCACACTTTATTGCATATAGTGCAGTCAGTAAAAGAAACGGGTCCTTTGTGGTCTTCCACATTTCCTTTTGAGAGTAATATATATAAATTAAAATAATGTATGAATGGTCCAAACGGAATTGACCAGCAAATGTCGAAAAAGTCCTTGGAGATATTGCACTTTCTAACGGATAATGTAGATTACTGTGATGTATCTGCCGTGCGTGACTACTGCACAAATTTATTTCAATATAAACATTTATCAAAATCCGACACGTATGATGACAACAATGTCGCTTTCATTGGCAAATGCTATCAAGTAAAATGCGATGATAAAATATATAAAGCATATAAAAAATGCATAATTAGAGGCGTTGTATTTCACAGCCAGAAGTATCACAAAGCGAGAAGGACGAACGATACAATGATTCAGTTACATTCAGGCGAATATGGTCAAATAATACACATCATTCTATTAAATAATGAATGTCACATGCAAATATCAAAAATTACAATTAGTTCCAACAAACCGTTTAATATGTCGTACATGGATAGGATAGAATCAGAAGATTATGTACACAGCTCAATAGTTTCCATAAGCGATGTCAAAAGTAAAGTTATTCACATAGATGTAGGATATTGTAGATATTTATGCAAACCTCCGAATATATTTGAAATTCAATGATAAATAAAACTTTGTAATAAATATAATTTTGTTTTTTCATTTATATACACACAGTCGAATATAATATTTATGACAAAAATTCGATTTAATTGCATTAAATCCGATTTTATTTTCATCCGAAAAATCTTAGAATTTCAAATTAAAATAAATTACTGTTGCTTACACAAAAATTTGATTTTTATTGCATTAAAACCGATTTAGTTATTATCCCTGAAATCGGTGAATTTTGGATTAAACCGGATTACAATCAACTCAATTACTAAAAATTGGCTATTATTATAACGAATTAAAATTGCATACTAGGCGGATTATTTTGGATTATACATTAAATCCGATTATTCGTGTTTATTTAGATTGACAACAATATGGATTAAAATGTAATGATTTCGGATTGGAAATAATTCGCGAAAGCGATATTAAAACCGATTGTAATTTGTTCGGAATTAAAATCGATTACTTTTTAATCCGGGCGCGGATTGAACCGATTAAAACGGATTATGTTTTAATCGGTTTTAATCGACCATTTTCGGCAGGGAAGAGGCAGGCAAGGGTGACGCGATTCACCGTCAGACGCGGGCGCTTACGCGGGGCGCCTGCTGCGATCAGCTGGTCGCTATACACATATAGACACACATGTGAACACATACATTCTCTCTCTATCTGCTGTCTGTCTGTGTATACACATATACTTGTTACAAAAGAAATACAATAAATTAATTACATATTGTATATAAAATTTATATTAATTTACATGTAAAATTATCTAAAAGATATCTGATAAACATATCGGATATTGTTCAGGATTCGCCTTGAATTTAGAAGTAAAATATCACTCCCCATCTGGCGCCATCCGTGAGCGCTAAATTGAACTCGCAAATATCTAATTCCGTACGGTTTTTTCGAAATCAGCCAGGATCCGCGTGACCGCGTAAACATACATGGTCCTGGCCAATTAGAAACTCGAAACATCACGCGATTTGACGTGACAAACCGTGATACGTTGAAATAGGATCATCCGATGCGCAATCGATTCCTTATTATCGGGAGAAAGGCTCTCTCCCGCTGAGTTACTGCTGAGTCATTGCGAAATAATTGTGAAGTCAATGCTGAGTCATTACGGATTCATAAAGAGTCTTTGAAAGTGCAAGTAATCGAGAGCGAATCGGAAGTGAAAAGTTCGAGAAATTTCTAGTAAAGTAGATCTAGTAAGTAAATCGTAAGTGAGACGTTAAAGTCGCGAGTGCATAAACCGACTAGCCATTGTATAAAGCATCGCGAATAATCAATTCGAACTCAGTTGAACGAATCCGTATCACACGAGAAAATTCGGAGAGCAAGTGCCGGGATTCATCGGAGCGCCTCCACTCTGAGTGAGAGGTGCCTCTTTCTCATTCCGCTCAGTCGTGTGCTTGTGACATAACGCCGTCTCGCTCGCTCTCACGCGAACCGGGGAAAGTGCGGTCTCGCTCGCTCTCATAGACGGCCCAATAGAGCGCTATCTCTCTCAGTTTCGTGTCGAACCGTGGAAAGTGCGGTCTCGCTCGCTCTCACAGCCAGCCCGATAGAGCGCTGTCTCTCAATTTCGTGCGTGCACCAGTGAATAGTGCGGTCTCGCTCGACCTCGCGAACGGCCGATAGAGCGCCGTCTCGCTCGCTCTCGCAGACAGCCCGATAGAGCGCTGTCTCTCTCAATGTCGTGCGTGCACTCGTGAATAGTGCGGTCTCGCTCGATCTCGCGAACGGTCGATAGAACGCCGTCTCGCTCGCTCTCACAGACAGCCCGATAGAGCGCTGTCTCTCTCAATCTCGTGCGTGCAATCATGAATAGTGCGGTCTCGCTCGCTCTCGCGAACAGCTGATAACGCGCTGTATCGCTTATATCAAGTGAACAATTGTATCGTGTGATCTTACATAATCTTGTATAACGTCCAACGCGCTCAAACTGTTAAAAAGAGCGTCTCGCGTCCCGCGAACGTTCTTGATCATTGTAAATTTATACTGTTATAGTGCAATAAAACGGACAGTAATTCGCTTGTGAACATTACTGTGACACACCAACAGAAGCAAAGTGTATCTTTCTCAACCCTATCACTCACACCTCGTGAAATCACATATACGTCAAGCTCGCAATACCCACTCGGGTGTGTACCGGCAAAACAAAATCGCAATTCAAAGGTGCGATCCCGAACAGATATCTTTCACTGTATAAATAAGAACAAATATACATAATTCATAAAAAATTTTGTTGTAGGTCAGTATGTTAGTCATGATTGGTGGTGTTACAACAAAAGATGCACTAAAAAGAGCATTACAAAAATTATTTTCCAACAATCTTGCTTCCCAATGTTCTTGGACCGGGGCTAAAGATAATTTTAAATTAAAAGACTTAAAAATTATTACATATATATATATATATATATACACAAATCGATTACTTTGAGGACTTTTTTTTCAATTAAAATAACAGTTGTATACGATGCGTGATTAGCTATTGATGTGTGTATTTTAATTATACTCAATGTATGATACCTAATAATAGATATACGTAAAGATAAGTATATAGTGATTACTTTGGGGACTATAGATGTATATTGATTACTTTGGGGACTTTAGATATATATTGATTACTTTGAGGTATTTTATGTTCTGATTATAAACTTATTCTAATTGTAAGTATGATTAAAAAAAGACATATTATTTATGATACACTTGGCGATAAAAAATAATTATATAAATAAAAAAAATTATATCTTATATATAAAACAATTTCTAGTGATAACAACATTTTAACATTATTACTTTCATCAAATGATTTAATTTGTTTAAATAAATTTTATTTATTTGAAAAAGTGATCCAAATTCTTTACAGATTCAAGAAGAAAGCATTTCTCCTCTTTGGTTAAAACAATTGGTCATTCACATTAATGAAATAAAAATTAATGTTAAAATATGCTGTGACTAGAAATTGTTTTATGTATAAGAAAATTTTTTTATTTATGTAATTATATATGTAATTTTATTGATGTATCATTTTTATGTATCAATTGTATCGTAAATAATGTCTTTTTTTTAAATCATACTTACAATTAAATAGAATAAGTTTATAACCAGAATATAAAATACCTTAAAGTAATCAATATACATCTAAAGTCCTTAAAGTAATCAATATACATCTAAAGTCCTCAAAATAATCAATATGCATCTAAAGTCCCCGAAGCAATCACTATATATTTATCTGTACATATATCTATTATTAGGTATCTATTATTAGGTATCATAACTAAAAAGTTACTATACATGAGGTTGAAAAGGTCTATTTCGAGAATAGTTTCTATCATTAAAACGTTTTATAAGTGTAACGATGCACCCCGTGCA